ATTAAAGATTGAGATTGAAGATTGAAAGATTGAAATTTGACCAATCAAAACAATAGGAGCTAAAATTTCTTTGTCCTTATTGATCAAATTTCAATCTGCAATCTTCAACCTCAATCTTCAATGCGCAGTCTGATTCCGGCCTGAGGGAGCTGTTCCATGGAGCGTTTCTCAATACATATGTACGTATTGACGGATCGAACCGTCGACCAATCACCGACGATCCGTCGTTTTGCTTCCGGAAAACTTTTGTTCCACTGTCCCAGCGGATCGAACGTAAACGGATGATCGAAGCATCAATTACGAAATTTTTCCGCTAGATCCATTTACAAAATAACCTTAAAAGTTGTTCGTAATTGGTGGTCCACTGAACCGTATACGTAAAATCTGTTGCATGGGACAGTGGAAAGAAAATTTAACGGATGACATAAGTACGGATTGTATAATGTCAATAGTAAACAATCTCAAAGAAAACAACTCAATTAGCTCAAAGAAAACAACGTCATTATTAATTAGTTGCCTCAAGTAAATGTAATAATTGAAGTTTGATATAAATATCGAAGAATTGACGAAAAGGTAACACATATCCATAATTGTATTACAATGAAATATGTACCAAGAATCGTATTATGTATATGATTCATTATTATGCCATAAACATGATGTTCACAATAAATTATTAAATACTTTTCTAAACAAAAATCAATATTTGTATAAGTTTTGCAGAAAAAAAATGGATAATACAGAAAACATGTTACTTGCTATGGGAGCGATAGCTCATCGCCTCAAGCGGTATCTGTAAAAAAAAGATTACGTCGAAAGCTTCTGCAATTATATACATTGTACGATGTTTTAACTAAAAACGTTTATCGAAAAGATCGACGGTTTTGGATAAGGATGATATTTAGTGAGCAGCAACGTTTACTGCAAGGAGCAAGCAATAACTTAATAAAAGAGATGGAGCAAAATTATGAAGAAAAATTTAGGAACTATTTTCGGATGGACTCTGTCGTTTTTAGGAAACTACTTGATTTAGTGAGGCCATTGATAACGAAGAACAGTAATGTAAGAAAAGCGATCTCAGCTGAAACACGTTTGCACATAACTGTTTGAAACACGTTTGCACATCCATTTTTTTCTGCAAAACTTATACAAATATTGATTTTTGTTTAGAAAAGTATTTAATAATTTATTGTGAACATCATGTTTATGGCATAATAATGAATCATATACATAATACGATTCTTGGTACATATTTCATTGTAATACAATTATGGATATGTGTTACCTTTTCGTCAATTCTTCGATATTTATATCAAACTTCAATTATTACATTTACTTGAGGCAACTAATTAATAATGACGTTGTTTTCTTTGAGCTAATTGAGTTGTTTTCTTTGAGATTGTTTACTATTGACATTATACAATCCGTACTTATGTCATCCGTTAAATTTTCTTTCCACTGTCCCATGCAACAGATTTTACGTATACGGTTCAGCGGACCACCAATTACGAACAACTTTTAAGGTTATTTTGTAAATGGATCTAGCGGAAAAATTTCGTAATTGGTGCTTCGATCATCCGTTTACGTTCGATCCGCTGGGACAGTGGAACAAAAGTTTTCCGGAAGCAAAACGACGGATTGTCGGTGATTGGTCGACGTTTCGATCCATCAATACGTACGTATTATCCCGGATCTACAATAGGGTTTTAAGCCTTAAGCCATAAGAAATGGGCGAATCACAGTCAATTATTCCTCTCGGATTCGACTGTAATTGGTCAATTTCTTACGACTTAAGGCTTAAAACACCTATTGTAGATCCGGATTTGAGAAACGCTCCATGGGACGGCTCCCTGATTCCGGCCTTAGGATGGTCTTAAAATAAGAACCGACTAGGTACGGAATCCATAGACGTTGCTCAAGACTCGAGATAGGCCGGTATTCATAGTCGGTTCTTATTTCAAGACCGTCTTAAGTAATATCTTAAGACGCTAATGCGGCCCTTTGATTGGTTCATGACATCTCAAGGCTGAACTTAAGACGGTCTTAAATATAAGATCTGATTGTGAATACCGGTCATAGACGGTCTTAAGCTAGTGCTTGAACCAGAGAGCCGTATTAGCATCTTAAAACATTGCTTGAGATTAAGACCGGACTATGGATTCCGACCTATGAATACCGGCTCATGTCTACTAGAATGGACGCTTTCTGATAGGTTGAAATCTCTTATTCCCTGTTCCTATTGCCTGTGCTTTTCATTGTGTTTCCGGCTTAATTCTAGGCCTGTTTTTTTAACTGAACTTCTTGTACGATTCATTTTTTTCTCTTTTTCTCTCCAATGTGGAGAGAAAAGAAAAAAAAGATAAATCGTGTAAGACCTTTAGTTAAAAGGAACAGACCTTCTGTCAACCTGAGTATCATTTTATCTTTGTTGTTCATCGAATGTTGAACAAAAATACAAAATACTTGAAGTTGACAGAGTTGACTATTGGAACGCACCCCTGGATGCTCTTGGTCGGACTTTTGAGATATAAATCACTATGGAAACCACAATTGCGAGCTTCACCTTGCTCCTTCCCCTTCGCTTTCCACGACCTAGCATTCTTTCTCTCCTTCTCTTTTGCTTGCTCTTCTTCCTTTCTATTCTCAACCGTCTTTAGAGCGTCCGTAGCTCTCAACAGTGGTGCTCCGATTTTTCCTGTCAAAATAAAGACTTCATAAATTGCGACCTCGTATTTACACCTCCCAAATGCCAGATTGTTTTCTACAAGCAGAAGATTTATATTTGAAATGCATATATATTAAAAGACTAATTTAAAAAATATTTATTTTCGAATTTAATTCGAGAAATTAATAAACAATTAATTTAAATAATTTTGAATTTAAATAATTTTGATCAATTTTTGTCCCGCGTGAATGTTTTTATCGTTGATTAATTTTCTTGCGAGAATTCTGGAATATAAAGCAAATAAAATATTTGTTCATTCCAGAAAATTGACTATATGAGTTATTTCGAAAATCATGCGACGCCATTTCTAAATACATTCTTCGTTACGATTACTTAGGGTTTGTTCTTTCCTTTATCACGAGTTTTCTCGGTGTCTAGCAGCCCTCCAATATCTCGAGCGGTTAGATTTTAGACGCCTAACATTCTCGTGCGATGTTTACCACGGAGAGGTTTGCGGTAAGAAAATAACACGTTCGAGATCAAAAGAGCATCAAAGAGTGCATCCTAAAAAAAAAGAACGTACGAAAGATATACGTGTCCCTCAGATATACATTTGTGTTGCAGGAAATAAACGAAGCCAGAAAACAAGTTGGAAGGAATATTATTTCGAGTCTTCAACATTAAAAATATTTAACTAAAAAAAATTAAAACGGAGTATTTTATTTGGATTCCTATCTAAAGAAAGAACGAAACTGTGTTATCTTTATGCGATTTGACGAAATGACGCCGCTTGAAAATGAACCACCGCTACGCTAGCTTTTCTCTCAAGATGCTGTGGGAGAAAGATAAAGGAAAGATGAAGTTCAAGGTCACGCACACGCTCGCTGTTGCGCAACACAATCGGCGCTCTGTACCTGAGAGTTCACTGACAATGCGTGATATCGCGAATATCCAAAGTACAATAACGCGTACGTCGTAAGGCCGGAATCAGACTATGCATTGAAGATTAAGATTGAAGATTGAAAAATTCAAATTTGACCAATCGAAATGAAAGGAGCTAAAATTTCTTTGTCCTTATTGGTCAAATTTCAATCTTCGATCTTCAACCTCAATCTTCAATGCGTAGTCTGATTCCGGCCTAAAAGAATTGTCACGAAGGGTCTTAGAGCGAACAAAAACGTCGCCAGACATTTTCGAATTGCATTGTCTTTTCTGGAGAATCCTGGAAACTCCTACAATTCTAGACTTTTCTGAAACAAATTCTCTTCATTGAAACTAAAGTCCACTTTTTGAAACAAAATTTTAAACGTATATAAAGTAATGAGCGTCTTTTTCTCTTTTACTTTTAAATTTGTAGGAAAAGACAGAAAATAATAAATTCTTTCTCAAAGAAACGTGATCTTGTATTTTTATTCACCATAAAGGTTCGTTTACATAAACTTTAAAAATCTGTTATTCCTTAATTCGATGTTAAACATTGTAGATTTTTGCTAAAAATTAAATCGAAATAACAAACATAATATTAATTTCCGAATGCATATAAAATCAATGTGTGATCAAACTTCTTTGGACTAATATAATTTATTTATTTCAAATAAAAAGCGGACATTCTTAACCGTCGTTAAAGCTCTTTGATTCTGAAGCAGTGGTGCTCAGATTTTTCAAAATCGAGGCTCGAAATACGACCGTAGATAGAAATTCAGTGCTTTATTGCAGTGGCTGCGTAATATATATATATATATATCTACATAGGGACGCCACTTTTTTTGTGAGCTGAT